TAATTTGGTTATTTGATAAATTTTTGTTTCTATTGCATTAATGATTTGATCATGTATTTGACAATGGTTGTATGTTTAAAGCATGATTTTTGACTTGTAATGGATTCATGAATTTGTGATTTCAATATTAGATTATATTGCCATGGCGTGTAACAAATCGCACACTGAAGATTCGACATGTGATGTTATATAGCGCGTAATGAATCACGCTCTGAAGATTCGACATTTGTCATCCTATAGTAGTTGTAGATTTAGAGCATGTAATGTATGGTTACAAACTACTTGTGCATGGGATGTGGTTTCGTATATATATAAGTTGTTAACTTATTTATTTTGGAGTCACTTGGGACATGGTTACTATGATATGGCTGAAGTTCGGCTTTAGTGCGAGAGGTATGAGTTCTCTCCAATTGAGATAGTGCGCACTTAAGGTGGTTTTCCCTGCGGGTTAGTGCCCAGAATAACCATTGATCTCGGCAGAATTCCGAATCTAGATGTCCAAGTCTTCCATTATTTATTTTCGCATTCAATTCCAAGTTAGCAATCATGTTTATATTGTGACTTGTGGTTTTGGTTATCGGCGATTTTGATGTTGATAAATACATCCATGCTTTATGATCTTTGTAGATTTTGATGTTGCCAAGTACATCCATATTTTATGATTTTAATAAATCATTTTAATGTTATTAAGTACATTCATGTTCATGGTTTTTAATAAATCATTGTGAGCTTTTAATGTTGTTAAGTACATTCTTGTTTTATGATTTTAATGAATCATTATAAGCTTTTGATGTTGTCAAGTACATTCATGTTGTGTTGTTCAAATGTAAAGTAGGAATGATCTTATAGATTCATTTGGAACATAGACGTTAGGTAACATGATTACTTATGTCGTTTTTGTTCTTTAGATTTCAAATTGATGACTTTGAGAATCTATGTTAGTTGCTTTGTGTAAGCATGCTCCTATGTCGTTGCTTTGTGTAAGCATGACCCTATATTGCTAAAATTTCATGAATGAGGTGATTGATGCTAGAAATGATCTTAGGTAGCTAAGATGCTCCTTGAGTCTCACCTTTGACATAGACGTTAGGTGGAATAAATCACAATAATTAATCATGCAAACTTGTAAAACGTAGGTCGATGCATGCTCATTTCCTACGAGTAGCTTTATGTTACTCACCCCTACGATACTGAGGCATATTTCAGGTACAGGATTCAAGGTTAGAGATTCTTAACATGCTTGGATGATTTGGGAACTTGAAGGGTTCAATTCTTGTGAAGGTTGGCTTGAAAAGCCATTTGTAACCTTATATGTCAAATATGTATATTTGCTTCTAGACTTGTAACGTGTGCCTTAGCACACTTTTTGAATCTCATTTTATGTGTATGACATGAGGCCAATGGCCAAACTCCTTTTGAAATTACATTTATGTCATGGATGTTAATTTTTGCCTTCAATGAGAACATATGAAAAACCATACGTTTTAGTATGCTATTTTGCACCGGAGCGTGCATTGTGTATGAACTTCTTCCATTAGCATTCATTTAATATGCATAAAGTGTGGCCAAGAGCTAAACGGCATTTCGAAACCATTCCATGATTTTAGGTTTTAAGTTTTCATTCCAAACTTCATTTTTGGCATTTTGGCCATTGGGGGGTCATATTTTGCTTCGGCCATATTTTTGAGTCAAGGAACATTGTAGCACATCTTATTAGGTAAGTTACGTTTTCGTGCATGGTCTTTTCCGGGCAAAACTTCTTCTTTGGTGAAATGAGCCTCCTACGGACTCATTTTACACTTTTGTTGCATATTCTGACCTAAGGGTATTTTAGGAATTTTCTTTGGGAAATAAATTCCGTTCTTCACATGGTTGAGTAGAAAATGTGATTTTGGGGGGGGTTTCTTCTTTGTGTTTTTCCAGAAAATGCCATCTTGGCATAGGAAATCGCCTCCGAAATTCAGCTTCTGTTTTTCAATTTAGCAGCTTTTTGGACCCTCTGGACCAGTTTTCTTGGGAGGGCATTTTGGGCATTTCACGTTACGTATTTTTCAATTTTCCTCGGGAGTCACGTAGAAATCTCGATTTTGAGGGGAGTTTCTTTTTTGAGTTTTTCCAGAAAATGTCATCTTGGTCCTCAAATTTTCATTTTTTCCGAAAAAACCCCTGCTGTCAGGTTTTTGGGCTGCCCATTCTGCCTCCTTCACATTTAAACGGTTACGAGGGGCTTCGTAACCGATTAGATGAGTGTGGGCAGTGTATTTCTCGTGATTTTGGTCTCCTAACCGGTTAGATGATCTAGGGTTTGCACTTTTGGACCATTTTGCCCCTTCTTCTTCCGTTAGCCATATCTTCTTCATCCGGACTCCAAATCAAGTGATTTTTGAATCTAAGTTCATTAATTTTTCGTTGTCTTTTCAATAGTGTGCTCAATAGCACCCACTTTTAGGCTGAAAATGACATTTTTGCCCCTAGGTCCATTCTTGTCCGTTTTTGAAATGTTGCTTCCGCATTTCTTTCATTTGGGTTCCATGACCTCGTTGAGGGTCACATTGGCGTCTTAGAGTCATGTTATATCTCTAGAGACCGTTGTTTGTCTTTTGTTTCCGCATTTCAGATCCGTTATCGGGTCATCTTTCGATTCATCACTGACGCACCGGGTTGAAAAACTTGGACCGTCACAAAGGTGATACATAATCCATCATAAAACAAAGTTGTTAGCATGTCATGAACAATTTATATGCAAGATAGTCATCTAATCACATAAAACACCTTAATTCAACAACTCAAATACCAACAAAAAAGCCCTAGGATCAAATCATGCATTTAGGCATCAAATTGACATGTTAAAGAGGGGCAAAAACATACACTTAACTGTCGAATTCAAAGAATTTGACAATTAGACAAATCTACCTAAATTTGAAGCAAAAGCCCCAATTTTCAAAATCTTCAAAATCACCCAAATCCAACTTTGCTCCGATCAAATCGAAGCCCTTGACACACTCTTCGACTTTACCTTCTACGGTTTCAACAAATTCCAAATAAGTAAAGAGAGATCTAAGCTTAAAGCATTGAAAGAAAAAAAAAAAATAAATAAATAAATATAAAGGGAGGATATGATGATGCGGCTGAAGGAAAAGAGACAAATGGTCAAGAAAATGACCATAGTCTACAGTGGGTCCCACACAAATCAAAATATATCTTTTCTCTCACACACACACACTAAACACATTATAACCACTCATTTAAACACATAGCCACATAAATATACATCAATTAATAATGTATGACAGGCAACAGGTCCAAAAAAAAATAATTCTCGTACACTACAAATCCGATTGTAAGTCCCGCCCGAGTCAGCTGTACAATATTTGGATATAAATGTGACATTTTTTTTTTTAATTTTTTTTTTAAATGTGACATTTTATTACTAACAAAAATACCAACTGTGTGACATCTCATGGTGTTGGAGAAAAAGTGATTGTGTAAAATACTTTACAATTGTGTAAATGTGTTTTTAAAATTGTAAATACAAATAATGTGAAGAGCAATAAGAAGAAAAAAAAAAAACTCAAACTCATCTTACATTATTGCATATGAATTGATTTGGCACTCTTTTAAAATTAATTTGAGAGAAACAAATAAAAGTGATTAATTTTTCAAAATGTTTTTAAAGCAACTCGCTTCTTGACTTAGCTCAATTGGGAGAAATTATTACATGGTCTCAACTAAGCACGTGAAGCTACATAAGCAAAAAAAAAATGACACAATTGCATACACGATTGCATGCCCGTAATTACATAGTACGAGCCAATTACATGATGCCACCACATAAAATCTCACAATTACATACATAACTGCATGTGATTAGCCGGGCCTTAGTAAAATTTTCTCCTCAATTGGTTCATTCTTAAGCTTTTCTCACAAGAAGTAATTTCTTTGTATGCATAATTTCATAGATTATCAATCACAACAATGACCACATCTCAGTCAATCATCATATAAAGATTTTCAATTAATTTTTTATTTGCTTTTCTTTTTATTTTTTAATTAATTTGGAATGTAACTATTAGCGAATGATAAATTTTTTTCTTGGACAACGATGGACAATTAAAAATAACCAATTAAAGAAATAATAAAAAAAAGTGTGTGTTTCATTATATAATTGCTTGACATGGAAGGCATAATGAGCTAATAAGTAGGTGGTTTGAGATTGAAGATTTTGTTATTCCAAATGGTGAGTTGGATTAGGAAAAGACTTATTGAGCTTGTTTTAGGCAAGACTCTAATCATGTCAGTGTTTAGTTGCTTATTTTTCACAACTTATATAACTAACTATATGGCCCTCTTGCCTCGACAAATCTAACTTCTCAAGATTCTGAGCCGTCTTGTTAAAATAACCACCCACCACTTAATTGATAACATAAAAAGTAGCTTTTGTTTTAAAAAATCAGGAAAATTGAATTTTTTATTATTAATTTTTTCCAGTTACCCTCCTATAAAAATTCTGTGCGCGGGTACAACACAACTATATCACAAAATATAATACTGTGCAACAACTTTTAATAAATTATGTAACTCATTTATATCTATAATACTGTGCAACAACTTTTAATAAATTATGTAACTCATTTATATCGAAAATGCATTCATGCAACATGCTACATTTTGTTGCATTTACAATATAAAATAAAATTGTTACATTAGGAACAAGATAATGTTCTCCATGTTTGTATCTTAATGGAATCACTGTTCAAGTGAAATCGAGCCCCATTTTCAAGTTATTATGAAAACTGAGATAGAAAAGATGTACTGAAGGGAAGGAACAAAATTTTTACCATATTTTGAAATTTTATTAATTTCTAATTTTAATTAAGGAAGAAGAAATATGAGAGGTATCATAAAAATCATTCCAACAATTAGTAGCAGAACAACCTAAAATAAAAAATAAAAAAATAAAAAAAGACCATGCCATTGTTGTTTGAATTGCAACAGAAAACTCTATCAAGCAGTCAATGTCAATACCATAAAGTAAAAATGATACACTGTATGGCCTGTTACAGCTTTTAAAAGTATAGAAGAGCAGAAATTTTGTATACATCTATGGTCATGCAACTAATGAGAACTCACAAATTTTATCACCATTCATCACTCTGCATGTAACAGTTCAATGAAGGGATATCACAATTTTTATCTACATAGGTACTAAGGTAAAAAGTGAGTAGTGTCACAATATATGAGTGTTTTATCTACTATTTGATATATGCTAAGTAGCACCACCAGCCAGGACCCAGCTTTCCAATTTCCTCTTGACGATGGCCCAGGACCCCATCCTGACCCTTCAGCTTTCCAATTTCAGCAGTCAGCACTTCAATCTCATCATTCTTCTGCTGGAAGGACTGCTGCATGATGAGTATCATTGTTGATGTGTATCTGAGACTGAGTTCTGAGGGTCTCAATTTCGTTTTTATCTACATAGGTACAAAGGTAAAAAGTGAGTAGTGTCGCAATATATCATAGTGTTTTATCTACTATTTGATATATGCTAAGTAGTACCACCGGCCAGGACCCAGCTTTTCAATTTCCTCCTGACGATGGCCCAGGACCCCATCCTGACCCTTCAGCTTTCCAATTTCAGCAGTCAGCACTTCAATCTCATCATTCTTCTGCTGGAAGGACTGCTGCATGATGAGTATCATTGTTGATGTGTATCTGAGTCTGAGTTCTGAGAGTCTCAATCTCGGCTTGGAGCTTCTGGACAATCTCAGTGTTCTGCTCCAGATTAGCAGTCAGCACTTGAATTATGAAATTTTTGCACCTCACCCTCCGGAAGATACGGAAAGAGAATGCATCCAGGGACGCATTTTTGTTCTGGTTCGTTTCTGTTAAACAACAAACAAAACAAAAGAAACAATCAGTTTCAATTTTTCTTATAGACAGTTGAAACTGACATGTACCAACTAAGAAAAAAAAAAAGACAAAAAGACTATCTAATATATAGATTCCAGAAATGAATGGTCCTTTTAACCAGTGTGGTACTTTTTATTGCATAGAATAGTACTAGCTTGTCTCCATTTGGACCAACATACTCCAATCCTACTAGTAATATCATCATCTATTCCCCATTCTAAGTATTGAAAATGTTGATTTTTAGTGACCCAATGATCTTAAATTGATATTTGTAGTATTTCTCTCTGATAAAAATTTACATTCCACATTTTCTGTTTTAGTCTCACTAATTTTTAGAACTTTTGCTTCTAGTGCATTTTGCCAAGTTGCCCGTGGGTGCATTTCGCCAAGTTTCTAATTATATACTCTAGTTTTTCTTATTGGTAACCACCAACACTCTGTTATGCAACATGGGATGTCAACTTGTATATCTATAGTTATTTCACCTAAGACTACTGTAAATAGGTATGGTCTAAGTACTGATGTACATATCAATATATACGAGGGATATAAAAAAAAAAAAAGTTGAAAAAGGGAGGGAAACTTGCTTCCCTTTCTACTTTCCCTTCCTTTCCAGCTGTACCTTCCTTTCCCCCTCCCTCTCCCCCAACCAAACCAGGGGAAGGACCAAGCCCAGCTCAGGCTTACAATTCGGCTACAGAATTCTGCTTAGTTGCTACAAGTAGTTCATGTCTTGGAAACATATGTATTACCATAGAATTAAATAGCTCTGCATTAGGAATTTAAACACAATAGAGGACTAAGATCATCGAACCTACTAAGACCACCAGCCGTGATCCATTTGCATATATATATATGTGTGTGTGTGTGTGTCTTTATGTATTTACATAGGAAAACATTTCATATATTTCTCTTCAGACATAACTATTTAGTCACACTTGGAATAAGTTCGAATTTCGTGCAAGCCGGAAAATTTAGAACTGCATTTTTTGGCTCGAGAATGGAGAAGAATTTAATGCAATAACAAACCAACTTTACAAAATACTGCCTTTCTACAGCTCATGCTAACTAAGAAGTAACAGCTAGGAACAATATTATTCTGCCAATGACCATTTGGCACTTGAATCTTTATCAGTATGGATTTCAAATAAGCTTTTGTATTTTTTTATTTGAACTCCATTAATCATCTCAAATAAATCTATACATCCCGACATACAAAATTAAATTACTAAATTGAAATTTAAACTATATTTTTCAAAGAATTGGAACTTAGATTCAATCAATTTAAATCTTAAATCTAACTTAGAGTCTTCAGTAATGCTATTCAAATAAATAAATAAATAAATAAAAACCTAACTAATACCAAAGAAAAATGATCTATGAATATGTTTACGTGAGCTTTACATGATGTCATCCATCGATATCTATAACCTTCTTATTCTTTCAATTGATTATCCAAATTAGTTTTTCATCCTAAGCTTCATTTTTCTCAAATTAATAAAAATCATAATTAAACTATTCAATTAAAGTAGTCAGACTCTACATTTTCTTATTTGTATTGATACGGATTATTGACTGTCCATTCATCAAAAGTATTTAACTGAGGTAACTGTCAATCAAACCTAGCAGTGAACAGATTCATAATGTAATATACCCAACCAAACATATTAGTGAACCGATTCATAATGTAATATACCCAATCTCAATATATCATACACAATAATTAAACAAAGAATATAAACAAAAACAAAAAAGAAGAACAAAAAAAACCTTAAAACGCATGTGAGTGTTTATATATATATATTAAGCTATAAAATGAAACTGGACTCGCCGGAAAATCACAAAAAAGATTTCAGAAACCGTTGGACTGATGGATGATGGAAAACCTGATTGTTGTAAACAAATAATCACGATTAGAATTAAATCAACTGAAAAGGAAATCAATAACACAGATCAAAGACCTAATAAAATATCAAATCTAACCTAAATAGATTGTGTGTGTGATTTTGTTTAACTGAAGTTATAAATTCAATAGAGAGATGAAAAAGAAGAGAGCCCAAGTAAATGAATCATATTAAACACCATTGTTTCAGAATTTCAAGAACTGAAAAATCGTGTGTGAAGTAACCAAAGATTCTTGTAACAAAAAGAATTAGGCACTATGCTCAATAGTATGTTTTCAAATCTAAATTTCCTTCAATTCTAAGTGCTTTGACTTAATTTGAGTGCATCAACATATTATCAACATCATCAGTCGTCATCGTCAACATTGAAATCAACATCCTCATCTAGAATCGTCATCTAGAATCACGTAATCCTCTTGCATAGATATACATTTTATTAAGATAAACTAAAAAGAGACTTCCTATCATAATTGATCATTTTAAAACCAACATCACTGCTACAATGGTAAGGGGATTTAAATAATTCAATTAGCTAGGCAAAAAAAACATACATATTTTCTTTTTGCCAAATCCACCCATTCCCATCAACTCTCGTCTTTCAAAAACGAGACCTGTATTATTAGGACAAAAGAGGAAAAGTTTTAAAAGCGTTAATAAACTTGTAAAACATACATTCTGAAATTGAAAACTAAACTTCCAAGTCTTTAATTCCCATTAATAAATTGTTCGAGCATCACAACATAACAATATTATATATATGTATGTAGAAACAAAAACAAAAACAAAAACAAAAAATCAGTATGTAAAACATGAATAAAAAAACGTAACCAATAGCTAAAAATGCCAATTAAAATTTTAGAAAAAGTATGAGTTTGTTACCTGATGACTGAGGAGGCATGTTTCTTGAATCTTGTTCTTGCTAAATGTTAAAGCCCGATACTAACCCTATAAATAAGAAAACACTCAAGTTGTGAGGAAGAGGTTTCACAATCTCACTCATAACAATTAAAAAACTACCTTCTAAGTACTATCTGTATCATGTATCAACCCAACTCAATTATGCTTTCAGTCAAAATGTTGGACACTTATCCGTAGAAAGAGGTGTGATTACGGATAGGTCTGATTAGCACATATTATAATCATCTCGTGTTAAATTAATCAAATATAATGCATCAATTTAGGAATAATCTTCAAAATTAACAAATCAATATCCTCATATTCTGCATTCTAACAACAAAAGAAAATCAAAAACCAAAATTTGAAAATAAAATTATGGCAGAAAGATTGAATAAATCCTTCGTGCATTACACAGACTGTATTTTTAAGTGAAACAAAACATCCAGGATTTCTCAATGGGGTGGGCTAAATCAAAATATATCAACCAAAATCAACTGTTGTTTAATTCAATTTCAGTTAACTAACAATGTTTCTTTAGACAATTGACTGATTAAGGCATAGAAACAGCACTCAGTACCCTATCTCTCCTTTTGACCAATTTACTAATCCTATTTGAGAATCTACTAGTGGAAGCAGAGTATGAGGTAGTTCATGGCAAGCCCCTTCCAACACTACGGATTCACTCAAAAGCATGCTTTTTGTAAGTATTTTAATTTTCAAGAAGTAACTTTAGAGCTTTACCCTATATTAAGTACTTTTGCTTGTCAAAGTTCTTGCTATGATTTTTCCTTTTTTAGTTCTGAAAAGATTTCCATCTTCAAAAAGCTTGGCATGTTGATAAAAATTGTTTCAGATTCAATATCTGCAGATTTCTAATCCAATAAAGATTCTTTTTTTTTTCTTTTTTTTTTCATGCCCAGATTCAAATTTTCTTGTAGACATAATTGACAACAACAAAAAAAAAAAAAAAAATACAGAAATAGAAGTTATAGAAATTATAAAAAATAAAAATAAAAATAAAAATAAAAATTGTTTGGCTAAAATAAAATGTAGATTACGGTGATTACCTCAAAATGCAATGCAATGATTACCTCAAAATGCAATGCAAATTTTGTTACTTTATATTGTAAATATATATATATATATATATATATATATAAGATCATAAAAAATTTCACCAAATAGGATTTAGTTTGCAAAACAAGAATTACAGAGCTCGATTAGTTGATTTAGAAAAAAAATTAAAACAAAACCCATACATACAAGTTAGCAGTTGCAGAGAGGGAGGGGGGCAAGCTTGAGAGTTGAGAGAGCGGCTGAAGCTTGCGAACGGCGAACCCGAACTGGAACAACGGCCGATGGAAACTGAATGATATGGGTTTTGATTTTTTGAACAATCTGAAATGATACGCCGATATGGGTTTTGATATAGGTAATAGGTTTTGAACCTTTGATTCTTGCAGACAGATAGATAGACTTAAATATATGGGTTTTAAACTTCTGATTCTGGTAGATTTTGTAGTTTGAAATATATGGGTTTTAAACTTCTGATTCTGGTAGATTTTGTAGTTTGCAGTTGCAGAGAGAGAGAGGGAGGCAAGTTCAGAGTTGAGAACGAGAATAGAGATAGAGGCGATTGGGGAGGCTGAAATGATTTGCCCTAAAAATATGTTTAGCTTGCAGGTGTGGGGTGGGGAGTAAAAGTGAATCGGACGGCTTAAAATGGCAATCGTGTGCTTTTCAGAGTATTGAATGAGTATTGAATGGTTGAAAGATCTGTCTGGTTGTGTTTTCTTAACTTATGTGAACGGTTAGGATTAATTCTGAAAGTTATAAGTCGAATCTTGAGGCTTAAATGTTCAATTCTTATTAATCCAAAATGTTACCACTATTTATATGTCATTTTAGTGTATTTGCAAAATTTAATCCATGATTTAGTAGGATTTGTTATTTCTTTAAAATACTTTTTACTTAGTAATAAATTACAATAAACTGGCATGTTAAGAATAATATTAGAGTGGTTGGATTGTTGTGCTTGAGAATACCTTATCTTCTTCTCTCTAACTATTAATTTTTAATATTTTTGACGGAAAAAATAATAATAATAAAATAAAATAAATAAATAATAATAAAATAATTATTGTAACCATGAAAAAATAAATTAAAGGTAGTTAGGATTCAAGTCTTAGACAAGTGTAAATGAATATCAATTTAAAAAAAATTGAATTAAAGGTTTTTTTTTATGTTTATTCTATTTTATGTTTATTATTTTTTTAACATTATAATTCGTTCCCCATATAAACTTACATGAACAAAATATATAAATATATTAGAATTGAATAAGAATATATTTATCTCATTTTAATAAACTCTTAAATGATATGTGGGTTTTGAACTTTTGATTCTTGCATACGGATAGATTAACTGAAATATATGGGTTTTGAACTTCAGATTCTCGTAGATTTTGTAGTTTGCAGTTGCACACAGTGGGGGCTGAAATGATTTGCCCTAAAATATATTGTTTTTTTGGTGAACCATCATCCATGGGCTATAAATTTTAAGGCCCTGGGCCACTACCTTTGTCTCCTTGGGTCAGGACCTGTCCTGGATTTATTTGGGTTGGATTAGTTGACTTTGGCTCGATTGGATGGACTAATTCTATTAATAATTTTTTGTTTTTTTTAGTTAAAATAGTATATATATATATATATATATATATTTTGACTAGGCTAAAATTAGTTCTATTTTATTCTATTTTTTTTTTTTTTTTTTTTGTGAGTGGGCTCAAGCCCACCCCTATATCCTCCATTGGTCCCATATTCATCGTCTGTATGTACAGCACAGTGGTGGACCCTTTCCTTTTTGCATTGGTGTATTCCTTTCCAATTTTACTTAAAACTCGTACTCCTTTCCAATTTTACTTAAACTTGTTCCAGAACCTGAGATTTACACAAAAGTTTATTATACCTTTTAAGCGACAAAATGTATAATAATAGTAATAAATAGATAAATAAACAAGAGTATAACATGTAATATATTCGAAGACATTCAATGGAGTATTTTGTTTAATAAACTAAAAGCTACTAGAGGTTCCAAAACCATCTTCCTAGGGGAACTAAGAATAAACTGTGTATAAATTCAAATTTGCAGACATCAATTGAAATCAAATCCACGTCCAAATGAAAACATCGATCAAATCCTACCCAATTTACACATCATACGCAAGCATAAATTGAAAAATTAAGTACCACAAAACATGAAGAAACTAAGACTAAACTGAGACTGGTATTTTGGAAACTTCTGCGGGGTATTTTGTAGTAATTATTTTTTATTTAAAAAATTAGATTCAATTTAATTTATAACATAATCAATTAAAAATATAATATAAAATTAAAAAAAAATAAAAATAACAAATATCTGGTCCTAAGTTTCAAATTTATAATTTTGGATTATGATATAAATATATAATCCAATTAATATTTGTTGTTTTTTAATGCATTATTTTTTCTTTTTTTACTGCTTGAGGTGCTGCAACCGGTCCCTACAACAACACCACCAATTAAATTAAGGATTATAATACGAGTATTGGGGTTCAAAATCAGGACATATTAGAACCGAGCCCCTTAATATGCTTGAAAGAAGGCTGCTATTAAAGGGCGCGATGAATGAAACATGCTTCTCCAAAGAACAATTTGAAACATGAATTTTTGTCTATAGAGTAAAGTCAGTTTCGAGAACAAAAATTGCAAACTGCAACTTGTAAAACACTTTTTAAAGACCTATTTCAGTGACCACCTTCCATTCCAACTGTACTTGAGTGGTAAAGTTACAAGATATGGGAAGCATATCTGTTTCCATGCTTTATACTGGAGTGGGTGCTTCTTTTTCCTGTTCTGTGCCGCTCTCTCCATCACTTCCTCGACCATTACTTATTCCGTTTTGTAAAATCTTTTCCTCGGAGGGCAAGTTCTTCCTGGATTTCCTGCTACCTTCAACTTTCCAAAGATCCCACACTCGGGTCTTGGGTGGAGCGGCCGCTTCTGCAGTGGGCGCAACTAATCCTGGCTTGCCATCGTCAATAACTGCATCCACCAACCCATAATCAACTGCCTCCCAAGGATTCATGAAATTGTCACGGTCAGTGTCTACTTCAATCTGCAAACAATAATTATAATGATAATAATTATAAATAAAATCAAACAATAATGAAAATTCAACACAAGGAGCAAGAATAACTTATTTCAGGAGAAAAATTATTGAGAAGGCACATCGATGTGGACCAACCTGCTGCTCGGGCTTCCCTGTGATTCTTGATAGTATTTTGTTCAGCTTAACCTTGTGGTACACCATTTCTCTTATTCGAATACCCATCTCAGTAGCCTGGAACAACAACATGCCACAGTATAAAGTGAGGTTTTGAAAGTTCTAAATGAGAAATTAATTTTCATTTATGCAAAACAAATCATCCCCCAAGCAACATAGAAACCAAATCCTGCTAACATACCCCCAATCAGCGAGTCCTATAACATAGGACCCTGTAATTTTAGAGTAAGAAGATTGTAATACTTATCGGGAAGCCCACAGATGTCAATACAATTTAAGCAAAAAATTCTCTACTGATTTTTTGTCGCATGACACACTACTAAGAGACCGAGAAATCACAAACAAACATCTAAGAACTCTCAATCTGCATTGTGAGAGGAGTAGGAGAAACCACTTGAGTTCAATTCTAATAGCCTAAATCGGTACTGACCAGGGTTCGATTCCCTGGATGCGCATTTCCTCTCCATTTAGGAATTTTTACATATCAAAAAAAAAAAATTCTAATAGCCTAATTATCTCTGTATGAAGCAACTATCAGCATATGGTAGGGCATATATGAGATGATCTGGGCTTTGGTTTTGGTCAACTTGTCAACATATTCCCCGTTGACATTAATTGGAACTTTATTGTACTTTGAGAATAGCAGCAGTCATCAGATATGACATATATAGATTAGAAGCATTCATCTGCTTTATACACTACTTAAAATTTTACAAATGAAGAAAAAAGAATCAGCTAGACTTAATTTCATAAATAGGTCAAGTTTACCATTTATCATAAAGAGGACGATCATTAATCTACCTATCAAGTATGTTCCACTTCCTCTCCTCAGCACAACATCTATAATGGCTCGTATTGAAATAACCACATGATATAGTAAAATTCTCATTCATGCAAAACCTTTCACTATATACATTGTAGAGTATTGAAATAACATGGTTATTTCATGTCACTTGATATAACTATGTGATCTTAGACTAAGAAAACTAATTAAAAATTGAATCGTGCAATATTGACAATTGACAACTCAAGTACTCAAGCCATGATATTAGGTTCCATTTGATAGAGTCAGCATAGTGTGAAACCACTAAATCACCAGGGTATCAGGCAGGAGCCATCCTATCCCAAACCACCACAACCCCCACCCCCACCCCCACCAAACAATAAAATAAAATAAAAGTAAATAAATAAATAAAACCAATGTAAAAGTCAGATGTCTCCGAATACAAAAATGTCTCAAAGAAAATTAATGTAACCACGTGGTACCTGAAAGATCAACGAAAACCAGCTACTTAGTTAAATGGCTATCTTGTGATGCAATTTCTGCCCCTAAATAGAATATCCAAGTTTCTGAACTTAGCCCAACCAAAGAATATTTTATGCCTCTATTCTTACTCAAGGACCACGCATCAACTCGAGTACTCAAATAGTCAGCCCTCTTTAAGAACTTCTGTACTAGGACGTATGGAAACAATATGGAAGATTTGATTGATATTTGGAATAATTACACAATATTTTTAGCCATTTCATATAGATTAATGTTAAGCAGAAAAGGATTCACATTAAGAAAATAAAACAAAAGATCATGGAAAAGCACAGAACAGCTTTCTTAGTGTGAAGATCAGTATTCATGAAAACAAGCAGAAACCAAACCACTTACTTTGCCCCCAGAAGTTCCGAGTGGTTGATGGATCATTACTCTTGCATTAGGCATGCAATACCTCTTTCCTTTACTACCAGAAGCCAGGAGAAATGCACCCATTGATGCAGCAAGCCCGAAGCAAATAGTAGAAACATCTGCTTTGCACATCTTCATAGCATCATATATTCCCATTCCTACATGCAAAGAAGTAAATGAGCTTAAAAAAAGAAGACCAAGGTATTCTTCAATGTGTAGAGCCAAAGTCCATAGAAAATTCTGTGCATTTGAAAATTAGATAGAGACTTGTATAAAAATAAAGAGGAAAATGAATAAATTACACTCCACAAAAAAAAAATGGGAAAAAATAGACATCTACATAGGCAGCAAATATAAGTAGCAGCACTAATTGAGCAAAAATGTGCCAAAGTAGTTCATAAAACCTCATGCAAGAGACAGTCAAGAAAAACCAAAATGGTGATTTAATAAAAGAATGAACTTCCAAGCATATAAAATATCCAACTCCCTCCATGCCACAAAGTATCTTACTTCCCATTTTGGCGTGCCTCATAAAGTGTGTCCATTAGGACATTACCAAAATTCAAAGCATTATTCATCAAGTCTTTTTTATTTTCCGGCATTACCCATTATCACATCCTAGCTGGCCCAGTCATCAATATGGGAGAAAATATTTCCCAATCTGTACAGCAAAGTAGGAGGGCAGTATTGGAATAGAGATGTGTTAAGAACCATCTACACTAAAAGCTATCAGAGCTAAAGGTCTCAAGTTCAAAACTCACCATCACCCTCATAATTAAAATTGAAAACAAGTGTTGGACCAAAAAAAGGCCTCGCGTGAGGGGGCGTAATAGAGGATAAAAATATCAAAGTGACACCCTCTCTGTTAGCTTTATTTTTTTTTAGAGTAGATGGTTGTTAACAAGATGAGTACTGCATCATTTGACTAAGTCTCAAAAGATGAGTTTGCTCAGAGAAGACACTCGTTGTCAAAGGAGGGGATATTTTTTTGACGGCATGGTGTTGGTGTGGATTATCCAGGTGACTACTCTTATAGCCAACCAAAAATAGGAAAAGTGACTGAATTAACTTTTGGCAAATACATCATAAACTGATAAAAATTTATGCATGTGATCTACTACATTTCGAAAGTCAAATAGCTGTAACCTCTGTTACATGGACTCCTTTTTTCCTTTACATATCCATGTCGACGGACTCGACATGACACAACACCAGTGTAAGCACAGGACATGTGTCCATCACACAAACTCAAATCAGACAACCGAACCTCACACGTCATGATTGAAGAACAGGAAAAAAACTCGAATTTAATAGCTTAAACTAAATAGCAGCAATGAATTCTTTATATATGAGATGGATGGAAGCCCTTTTCTTTTAACACATGGTCCACATCCCATTTACAATTGAGTATATTCTTATAAAACAACAACATTAAACATTACATTAATAAAAATATATAATATATTGAAATACGCAGTATGTGTCTACGTATCCGTATCAAACATTTGAACAAATATCCTCGTATCATAAGATTTGTGATTCGAGGATGTCCAACACTTAGACACACACTTGCACACGATACACTAACCCGAGACTGGGTAGCATAGGTTGTAACCATGAAAATTAACAATAAGTTAACACAAGTGCACAAGTTTGTGTGGGGAGAGAGAGATTGAATGTGGGAGGAGGCGGCAGCTGATCTATGTCAAACCAAAGAAGAAAGATTTACAATGAGAAAGAGGACAGGGAGGGACAAAACAGTACGAGTACTACTCTATGTCAAACTATATAGTCGAAGGATAAAGAGGACGGGGGGGACGGAGGGTAACAATAAGAATACTACTCTTATGTCAAAATAAATGGTTGAATGATTGTTTTTATTGTTGCTTTCATCATTCCATTTGTTTGTTACATTTTTGCATCCTGAATGTTTAATTGACTGAAATTGGCTGAATGAATCAACTTACATATAGTCCTCTAAATTTTTTTTTTTGATAAGTACTTGTAGTCCTCTAATTTAGAATGGAATTGCCAGCTTATGTCAAATATTTATGTAAACTCATATACCATAGTTCTAAGAAATGTATCAGGATAAATGAATATATTGAGTAAAAGCTTGAACAGTATCAACTAAGCAGAATGAACATAAAACCATACCAGCAGTAACAGAACCACCAGGTGAATTTATAAATAATTTGATGTCTTTTTCCTGATCTTCCGCATCCAGAAATAAGAGCTGACTTATGATGAAATCTGCTGTCACATCATCAACCTGCCCATCTCGGATAGATTTCCGTAAATATTAAAACCACCTATACAAAACATATATAGCACAGTGTAGAAGATGCAGACAGAAATATTAGAAATATCTCCCTAATTTTTCTTGACCCTATATCTAAGTAATGACACCCAGCAAATTTTTCAAGACCCCATAAACACAAAGTGATGACGCCCAACATAAACAACTATCGTATCCAAAAGTTAAACAAGGAGACTAGAGAGGGAGATGGTATGTTTTTTTTGTGCAAGAAGAGTCGTAGCCTGTTTACACGAACATTATACAAGAATGAAAGAGTAGACTGCTTTTATACTACTCAATTCACGTAAAAGATCAGGAAAATAGTGAAAAATCTGGGAATGTCCCGAACATCTGAAAATGACAAGTATCTAACATCACTTCTTTTAATCTATAAAAAGGCAACTCCATATTTCCAGAAGTCCACCTATCGTGTTCCCACCTACAATCCACACAAAATGACAAGTATCTAACATCACTACTTTTAATCTATAAAAAGGCAACTCCATATTTCCAGAAGTCCACCTATCGTGTTCCCACCTACAATCCACACAAAAGGTGCTGCTTGCCAAGCCTTCGGACTCTACCACCAGTTAAAGCAACAACCAATCAGATCACTAATCAACTGTGGCATAAGCCATAGGAGACCAAACAGGGTAGAAGAACTACCACATAATGAAGGAGTAAGCAATTAATAGTCTCCTAAGCTCCTTAGCACATGCAGCACCAACTGGGAATAATCCTTTGCCAGTTGCCCAGGTTACACAACCAAAAGGTTCTCCATTAGAACTTACCTTAACCTTCTAGACAATTTTCCAAGGGAACCCGAGATCGTCAACCCCAGTAAGCATTCTATAGAATGAATAAACTCCAAATCTTCTGTGCCTGTGGAACATCCATCTCAATGAGTCTTACTATCGCTGCAAACAGAGGAGCTTTAGAGGGAGGGTCTAACAGAAGGTGTCAACAGAATACAGCTCCCAATCCTGAATAGGCCTGAAGACCCAAGACTCCCATGCCACACCAGCCCTGAAAACCAAACATAATCACCACCAAACACCATTTTATCAGAAGAAATCCTGAACGCACCTGGGGGTATGACCTTCAGGAGAGCATCCCACACCAGACCTTGTGCCAAAACCTCACTCTACAACCTTCCCCATAGCAAAACCGATATATTTACAGAATTTCCTCCAAACCTTTTTATTTCCTTCCACAGCCGAACCAAAAAGAATTAGTAATCTCAATTGAAGTCTCCCTCACTAATTCTGCCCCCAAAATTTCTCCACTACCTTCCTCCACACATTGTCAGATTCTGCCATGTATCTCCACAACCATTTGGCAAGAAGTTTGATTGAACTTCCTAAACAACCTTGCCCAAGACAACCAGAGTGTAAGGGACTAGGTAGTGAATACAGCATTCTAAGCCTCAAACTGCCACAAAAAAATCCCTCAAAATGTTTTCCAACATTTCAGCAATAAAAGTGGATACAGTAAGAGTGCACATGGAATATATTGGCAGGCTTAATAAGAGTACCTTTACTGAAAATTATTTTGCCACCCTTCGGCAAGTGTGATGTTTTCTACCTAGTCAATTCCTCTTGTAATGAAGATAGCACAAATAAACCTCCTCCAACTCAGAAGATGATGAGTGCCATCAATAACAAGAAGATGAGAGATTGAGATGGCCTTTGACTGACCCTACCAGCCTCAAACCCTCAAAGGAAGGCCCATTTCACAAAGGCTTCCACAAACATAATTAAGGGAAGAAAAGAAAGTGGATAAATCTGTCTCAACTCCCTCGATCTGGCAAATAAATTTTCTACGCTCCATTAACAAGAATAGGCAAACAGTGGAGATAACCCTCTAATCCAATTTCTTCATTTTTTTCCCGGAAGCCAATGCGATTCAAACATGATGGAAACCCCAAGTTAAATGATTATAATCTTTCTCAATGTCCAATTAGAAAAAGAGGCCAACACTCTATTTCAAAATCTAGAATTAAGACTCATTGTCTACAAGCATCATACTCAAAGAAAAAGAAAAAGAAAAAAAAAATTTGATAAGTACAAGCATCATACTCAAAATACCCCCAACAAAAGCATTATGAGCATGAGAAATTAATTTTCCTATCACCCTTTTCAAATGATACATTAATGCAGTTGCAAGAACCTTATATACATTCCCCACCAAGCTAATAGGTATGTAATCTCTAAAGTCCAAAATCCCACCTTTCTTCAGGATCAAGGCAATGGAATATTTATTCAAGCTACACTTGGAATCTCCAAACTCATGAAAGTGATGCACCAAAACCATAACATCATCATAGACAACGGTCGAAGAATGCTGGACACCATGGTCAAACCATCTGGCCTGGTGCATTATCAGTTATTCCTTTCACAATTCTTGACGGATGACACCACCTCCTCTTCCCCGCAGGGGGGTGGTGGTGTTGTCTCTCCAATGTCCCCTAATACTCATCCCCATTAGAAGCCAACTCAAGCTCCCCGACGAATGGCCTCTTCTCATCAATCTCCAAAAATAGGCTCTCATAGAACTCAATGGTCTTCTCCATTAGCTCCCTTTATTTAATTCTGTCCTCTCTATCAATCTACAATCTTCCCTATATGATTGGATATCCTTTGTGCATTACCCATGCAGTGAAAAAAGTTCGTGTATATATCCCTTTCTTTAACAATAAAGCTACAAAATTCTGTTTCCAACAAATATCTTCCGTAAACACAAGCCTGCTTAATTCCCCTTTCCCTAAGAAGCGTGGATACGAAAATGAGATATAGATACGACACAACAAGGATATCCCAAAGCTCTGAAATAATTAGGACAAGGACACAAAGGGGATTTGATGAGTAATGTGTAGTGATCATAAAAGTTAGTTACAAATGCACGGGTACAAGTTTTCATAATCTTAACAAGAAAATGTTGTATGAAATACTTGATTTGTCTCACAAAAACATACAAGAAGAGTTGTTGTAGGTGTACAAATGTACAGAGTTATGCATAAATCAGAAAAGCCGCTATAAAATATCTTCTTCAAAAGAATGTACATATTGACTGTCTCTCTCTCTCTCTCCAAACTTTCTCTGTACATGCTTACTCTTTCTCTCTTATACGCCTATAGATAGGTTTTAGAAAAAAATGCGTATAATAGGGTTAAGGCCAGAATTTGCATGGGTGGTGGTAATTATGGTTGACGACAAAAGGCAATATCAAGAATGCAGGAAGATGATGGACTTAGATTGAAGGGTATACTTTGAATTATCTCAATTCTTCTTCTTTTTTGCAATTCAAAATGAAAGCATCTCTCTCTCTAGCTCCCTCCTCCCTAGCCACTAACCCCCCTCTCAACACACTTTGTCACTAGATCCTCACACACTTCCTCTCTTATGTGCCCACAAATATGATTTAAATAAGAAGGAAAGAATAGGACTACGGCTAGGAGTCGGTGTAGTAATTAAGGCTGATAAAAGTGATAACAAAGTCTAATACACATCATTCTCTTGTCCCACATAAGAAAAATCCCCCAGCCTGTCACAGAGAAGCATGTTGGTGGTAATGAGCTAAAGAAATCCCCCAAAATCGATGTTAAATCCATATCATATCGAGAAGTAACCTCATTTCATATCTTTGAGCCACAAATTTGTACAAATTGACAGTAATCAGCAAAACTGATCTTAAATTTCAATCTTTATGGCGAGTGGGAGACAGAATTAAGCCTTGTCATATAGAAAAATAACCTCATTTTGTATCCTTGAGCTACAAACTTGTAAGAATTGACAGTAACCAGCAAAACCCATATAAAAATTCAAACTTTATGGCGAGTGAGAGACAGAATTAAGCCATGTCATATAGAAAAATAACCTCATTTCGTATCCTTGAGCTACAAATTTGTATGAATTGACAGTAATCAGTAAAACCCATATTAAAATTACATCGTTATAGTGAGTGAGAGAGAGAATTAAGCCATGTCATATAGAAAAATAACCTCATTTAGTATCTTTGAGCTTCAAAATTGTATGAATTGACAGTAATGAGCAAAACCCATATTGGAAATCAATTGTTTTAGCGAATTAGAGAGAGAAAGTGAATACCTGAGAACCCAAGAAGATAATCCGCTGGCGAAGAAGCATGTTGGTGGTATCGAGCTCTTCGAATCTAGGAAGCCAAGTTGCCTGAGAAGATACGTCCCAATTGCTCGAAAGAGTAGGTTGTTGTCTGGTAGAGAAGCTATTCTTCAATGCTTTAACAGACAAGGGTCTTCTTCTTCTACTGAGACTACAACCATCACTGCTCGTTGTTGGAATCAGCCGGTGGTGGTTGGTCTGAAAATGTTTGGAGATGACACCGCCATAGTTAGCGAAGGTCGGTGGTGTCGCAGGTGCTGACGCTGTTGTGAAAGCCAAACAACCCCTTTCCATCTCTCTCTAACTTCTCCCTCTTTCTCCTCTTCTGAAAGTACAGATTGGGTGTTTCTTCTCTAATCCCCAAGACCTGGATTCTCTCTATTAAACGCCTGAACGGTGTCGTATTGGTTTATAATATATATATATATATATATATATATATATATATATTAACATGGCTTCAATATTTCCTGAAGTTTAACTACTTAACTAATATGGAATTACTGTTGGGTTATTGGTAGAAGTTAATTTCTCCTAACCAATTTGTCAATGTTTGTGTTTTTCTCTCATTTTTTTAAAAAATAATTTAATTAAAATTCAACTTTACTTAAATTCAACTTTATGACCTAAATAAGATTTTTACTTGTATAGCAATGATAATGTATGATTGAATGTGAAGATTAACTATTAACAAAATAAATATGCATGTATAATTAATTATTATAGTTTGGTATATATCGATTTGATTTTTTTTCAATCATTAAATTGTAAGTCAAACTAATATTAATCGGTTCGCTATTTTTGCTATTTTTACAATCCGAACTAAATAGTTTATGTAAAAAAGTGATTTATATCAAATGGATGGTTTCTAACAAATTCATATGAACTCATTTATAACTTTTACTGTCTCATGCTTGAATAAATGGCTCAAGCTTAAAAATTGTGATGGTTGGTTATCTTAGTCTAATGGTGATGGTCTTCACAAAAACGTGACATCAAATTATAATATTTTTTCCTTATATTTTACCAAATGAAACTTTGAATAAAGTGATGAATCAAAAATAAAAGATGTCAAACTTTAACCCACTTTAGTCTATTTTGTCGATTTAGGATGTATCAAATTAGTTGTTTATTCGAACATTATTTAGTGACCAAGTTACTAAAACATTTAACTCTCCCTCTGACATATGCGTCCGCGTTCGAATCTCTCCTTAATTTGTCAAAAATTAAAAAAAATATTATTATATAAATGATATAAAATTATTCCATAAACAATGGAATAATAAAACGTATAGACAAACCAATTCATGGGTTTCGAACTTTCAAGTTGACGATACGGTCTTTACAATCCAACACGAATACACAAGTTCTAATAGACACGAAAGCCAAGAAGTCAGGTAAGCTACAGTTACGCAGCGATATGGATAAGGATAAGTTCTTCAGATCCGCATTGTACTAGAATAAGGAGATTAATTCACTTATCAAATACTATAATCTATTCTATAAAAAGGGTAACCAGCCAATTCAAAAGGTACGCAAACAATATCCCTAAGAGAGTCCATTGATCTTTCTAGTCTTGTACTAGCTTGACCGTCGGAAACTCTTGGGTCGGTGCTGTACCGGTGCCTTTTTGACGACGCTTTCTCTTCTATGCAGGTGACGACGTCGTTCTGGGTCGTGACAGAATCTTGCATCATCAACTGGCGCCGTCTGTGGGAACGCGAATATTAGTTTCCTGAAAAACAATGGTTCAGTTACGATCCGGAGTCCAACTCGGAGAAGGAAGCCAACACCCTTCGCGCCTTAACAGCGGAAGTCAATCACAGCATGGTGGTAGCAACCACCATCAATAGCGTCAACGCGCAAATCAATCACAGCATAGTGATGGCAACCACAGTCAACAGTGTCAAGGCGCAAATCAATCACAACATGGAGATGACGGTAGCCGTCAACCACATGACGATGAGAACCAGTCGCGTCACAACGATGGTCATCAATCGCATCATGATGATAATCAACCTCATCACAGGAATGACAGACCTCACGTTAGTTAGTCTCGCGCGAGAGAAGATCAGTCCGAGCATGCATCCCGTCAAAGGAACGCCTCCAGGCGGGTTCTAAACGATGGGAAGATTGTCGCGTTAGAACAACAGGTTCAGAACCTTACTCAAGGTATGAATCAGTTGGTCCAGCAAAACACAGCAATCATGCAACACTTGGCCATCCCCGCAGTACCCTCTGAAGGTAACAATGACAGCGACAGAGTAGACTATAGTCAAGCTGGAGGTCGACAGAGAGACCTGCGCACTTCCGCACCTCATTCCAGAGATATGTATGATGTCGGAGAACGCACTGAAACAACTTACGTCGATAGCAGATCCAGGATCTCAAATCGAAAGTGGAAGGAATGGCCTAAGCCCTAAAAGGAAAAGGTTCCGCCACAATTGATGACTTAGTTTAAAAGACGAATTTACCTTTTAGTCCTCATATCATGGCCCTCCCATTACCAACAAAATTCAAGATGCCTCATCTTGATAGTTTTGATGGAACGCGCGACCCTCTCGACCACTTAGAAACTTTCAAGTCCCTCATGAATTTGCAGGCCATTCCGGATGAGATCATGTGCAGGGCTTTCCCCACGACACTCAAAAGGTCAGCCCGAGTTTGGTTTAATAAATTGAAGCCAGGATCTATTAACGACTTTGAAGAACTCAGTAAGCAGTTCATAAGGCATTTTATTACAGGGATAAGACATCGAAAGCCAGTTACTTATCTGTTGAATGTTAAGCAAGACAAAGGGGAGTCGTTGCGTGATTATATTGGTCGGTTTAATACAGAGATGTTGCAGGTCGACGAGGTGGATGATAAAGTTGCTTTTACAGCCTTTATAGGAGGTCTACAATCCTCCAAGTTCCTATTTTCCTTGTCAAAAGACCGACCAAATAGCATGGCAGAATTATTGATAAAAGGCCCCAAAACATATGAATGCTGAAGATGCCATGAATTCAAGAAAGGGCAAAGGAGTCGACGACAAGAAAGGAGACAAGAAAAAAGCCAGCTGTTAGCTTCAAAGACGAGAGAGACACTAAGTTCAGAAAGCCTGCCAATGACAGGCCCCCTAAAGTACCCAGGGGGCAAGAAAGCTACACTAACTTCACTCCCTTAAACACCCCAATCAGCCAAATCCTCCTGCAGATCCAAGATGACCACTCCTTGAAATGGCCCCCCAAGTTGAAGTCAGATCCAACGAAAAGATCTAGGGACAAGTATTGTCAGTTCCACAGAGACCATGGGCATAATACTGATGATTACTTTGACTTGAAGAACCAGATAGAAAGTCTAATTCGTCGGGGCAATTGCACAGATATGCTACGGACCGTGAAAAAGGTGCCACTCAACCTACCCGTGAGAACAGAGAGAACAACCCTCCTGGCCGCCCGTTGGGAGAAATAAAAGTGATTATGGGAGGATTTGCATGTGGGGGAGAATCAAGCTCAGCACGAAAAACTCATGTCAGGAGAGTCCAGAGCTCGGCAGGAATCAATGAAGTTGAAATTCATGAACCCCCAGCGAAGTCTCCTAGAGTGGAGGGCCAGGACATTACCTTTTCGGAAAAAGAAGCTAAGGGAATCGAGCAGCCACATGACGATCCTTTGGTAGTGACAATGGTCGTGGCCAACTACGCAATCCACCGTATACTAATTGACAATGATAGTTCTACCGACTTGTTATTTATTGATGCATTTGACAAGATGTGTATTGGCAAGGAAAGGTTAAGGCCAACAAAGTCCCCCCTTGTTGGTTTTTCTGGAGAAAAGGTTTTCCCATTAAGTGTAGTCACACTTCCATTGACAGCCGGGACCAGTCCGAAATAAGTAACCGTAATGGCAGATTTTTTGGCGGTGGACTGTCCATCTACGTATAATATAATCCTAGGGAGAACAACTTTGCATGCAATGAGAGCTGTCACTTTAACATACCACCTATTAATGCGGTTCCCTACAAAGCAAGGCATTGGTGAGTTAAGAGGTGACCAAGCCATAGCAAGGGAGTGTTATGTTGCCGCTTTAAGAATAAAAAAGTTGCAGGAAGCATTGGCCATTGAGAAACCAAAAGGGTTAACTAAGAAGGAACTCAATCAAAGGGCGGAACCAGTAGATGACCTCGTAGAGATCGACTTGGATGAAGAAAGAGCTGGAAGAAAGGTGAGTATAGGGTCATTACTCAACCCACTCATCCGAGATTCACTCGTTCAACTTCTCAGAGATAACAAAGATGTATTTGCATGGGCACATGACGACATGCCTGGCATCAACCCCTCCATTGTGGATCCATCTTTCAGACCAGTCAGACAGAAAAGGCGAGTGTTTGTTCCAGAGAGGAACCTTGCTATATCAGAGGAGGTCGAGAAACTCCTGAAGGCCGACTTTATCCGAGAGGTGCAGTACCCCCATTGGCTGTCTAATGTGGTTCTGGTCAAAAAGGCATATGGCAAGTGAAGGCTTTGTGTTAATTTTACAGATCTAAATAAGGCTTGCCCAAAGGATAGTTTTCCTTTGCCAAGGATTGATATGTTGGTTGAAGGAACAGCAGGGCATGAGTGACTTAGCTTTATGGATGTTTACTCCGAATACAACCAGATCCCAATGTATTCTTCTGACAGTGAAAAAACTTCTTTTATTACTGACAGAGGTTTATATTGCGATAAGGTGATGCTATTCGGGTTAAAGAATGTTGGCGCCACCTATCAGAGGCTAGTCAACACAATGTTCAAGCAACAAATAGGGAGAAACATGGAAGTGTATGTGGATGACATGTTGGTAAAGAGCCTGAAGGCCGAAGACCACTTAGCTGATTTACAGGAATCTTTTGATGTGCTTAGGGCCCATAATATGCACCTGAATCCAATCAAGTGCGCCTTTGGAGTATCCTCGGAAAAATTTATGGGGTATATGGTAAGCCAAAGGGGAATCGAGGCAAACCCTGAAAAGATTCGAGCAATACTAGATATGAGATCACCTAGATCAACCAAAGAGGTTCAGAAGTTAGCAGGAAGGATCGCAACTTTGAACAGGTTAATCTCTCGAGCCACTGACAAATACCTTCCTTTCTTTAAGATACTAAAGAAAGCCTTCGAGTGGACCCCGGAGTGCGAACAAGCATTCATTGAGCTCAAAAATTATCTCAGCTCACCACCATTATTGTCCCGAGCAATTTCTGTAGAAAGTTTGTACCTTTACCTAGCAGTTTTCCCTGAAGCGGTAAGCTCAACATTGGTTAGGGAGGAAACCAGTATTCAAAAACCGATATATTATACTAGTCGAGTACTTCGGGGAGCAGAAGAAAAGTACCT